GGCCTGGCCTAGGCGGTGAGTGACCCTCAGCGCACGCCTGTGCGGCCTGGCCTGGGCCGGGGGCGGCCTGTTTGCCGCTTCTCCGCTCACCTTTGGGAAAAAGCATTGTGGAGTCGAGTTTTCGTTCCGTGGTCCCTTTACCGTCTGTTTCGGTGCAAGTCCTGGTCTGCAGGCGGCTGCCTCAAACTGCCCAAATGCTGGTTATGATGTGTACTGTAAGAAAGTACGTTTTCTGCTCACTCCTGATTAAAAAAAAAATAAAAAAAAAATCCCTAGTTGTGTAGAATGAGGTTGGTTGTAAGCAAAGCGTGTCCCTGGTGTTAACAGTACCTTCTGGGCTGATACCATCGTAGGGCAGTGTGAGCTGGGTGATGATTGTTGGTCTTCACCCTGTTCAGACAATATTTTCTGTAAAGGTATTGTGGTTCATTGAAAAACCTCAGGACTGTAGCATAATTGTGCAAGGTTATAGACTGATACACACTCCCATGTGTAAGGGGAAATAATGCCTATCTGGGGCTTAAATTATCAGAATAATTTGCCAGAGGTGATGACTCAGCACATTTTTTAGAAATGTAGATAGACTATGTGAAGCTTCTGGCTAGGTACATCCAAGCAAATCATGTAATAAAAACCTGCTAGTTAAAATAAGGTTCCTCATCTGTTACTGGGTTAAATGTAGGATGACAACTTTTTTGGAATGGTTTTATGTCAAAGCTTTTAGCTTTCCTGCCAGGCAGAAGAAAGTATTCAGTTAAGTATTACAGGAGATCTCATCTCCGTGAAGAAATGCAGATATCTTATAAATTCTTATTATCACTTCTGTTAAATTTTTAATTTGGTGGGTTTTGGTTTTTTTTTTTTTTTACAAATGTAAAAATTTGCTTAGGTCATACATAGTTACTAGTAGGTTACTGACTTGATTTGTGAGTGTTTTGGATAGAGGGGAAAAAAGCCTAAGTTCTCCATGTGGTTAAAAGACAAACTATGTAGCTAACCACTCTCATGTTTCCAGGGTTTTGAGTAGTATTTGTTAGTTATACTCTGGAGAATTCTTTACCTCTGGCTGTACTCAAAGTATTTGGTATTACAAGATGTAATGCACAATAAAAAACATTTACTACAGGCGTAACACTAAATTATAGCACTTCTAAATACAGTTGTGCTGTTTGATTTGTCCATTCCCCTTTTAACTAGAAATATGTAAAACTTGGCAACTAGAGTGCTACTATTCAGAGCAATTGCCTCATTATGTGTGGCAGAACAGAAACAGTTTGAATGTAAAGTCACTGTTCTGGTTGTGCTCAGATTTGGCTGGTCAGTTAATGTAGCATCTCTGGGACCTTGTAACACTGTTAGAGTCCTGGCAATGAAAAGAAAATGGTGTTCTTTATGAAAATAAAACTATTGTTGCTTGAGTGAGTGATTGGTAATAATATGGTGATATATGGTGAATAGTGAAAATTCTGAAAACTATTTAAGCGATTCTCACTTTTTGCTGACGTATCTATAAAACTGCCCATCTTGGGCTATATAATGCTTATAGCATCTCCACTTTTCTTTTTTTAAATTTACTGCTTGTTTCAAAGTAATTCCTGACATCTATTATTTTTCTAGGTTGACCAGCTCCAAAATGTTATCTCAGTGTCTGTGCCAAGGTTACAAATGTTTGGTTTTACACAACTTAAAACTGCATTCAATAACTGTGGCTACTTTGGCCAGAAGGATCCATTCTTCAGCAAAAAAGCTTTCTGACTGTGAGTTAAAGGAACAAACTGTCCAGAAATGTGAAATTGAAGAGTTGCCTCGAAGTACACAAAACAGTAACTTTGGAAGATTGCACATACCAGTGATGCTGGAGGAGGTTGTTAATTGTTTATCCCCCCAACCAGGCCAGGTGAGTTAAATGATTAATTAACATTTCTGATTCAGTAGCAGTCCCCCCGAAAAACTTACGCAGTGTAGGGATAACTTGTTTAGAGGGATAAAGGGATGCTTTTTAGGAATCAGATGCACCTTTTAGAAGTTCTAAATTGTTTTTCAACTCAAATTGGTTTTTATTCAAAATAATAAAAATCTAGTAGCTGTATGTTTGAATCCCCAAATAAGCAGTATTTGTTAAAACTGTAGCAAGTATTTGAATAAGTTCTTGCTTTTATGCTTGTCTTTCTGGATTGTTTTTGTGTATTTCTAGGGTTAGGTTAATTACTAATAGTAGCAGAGAGTTCTCATGTATGGTTGTCATCAATTTGTGAAGAGCTCTCTTCCTGTGGTAGAAGAGGTAGTATGTAGATTTAAAAAATCATTATCATCGTACCTTGTTCTGAGATAGTGATTTCCATGGTTTCACTTGGTTCGAGGCAGTGTGTTTCTGTAGGGTATGCTTACACTGCCTAATGCGATGCATTGTAGAGGTACTGTAGTTATAAATTAGCTGGGGATGGTATCAGGAGTGGTTTAGCATCAGTGACATGGAAATATTGCAAGTCGTCTTACTTGGCTGCAGTGCTGTGAGTAGATTCCACCAGGTATGTGGGTTAACTCAGGTCTCTCTACACCACAGTGTTGATATACCTACGTTTTGTTGGTGTGTGCATGTAACTATAATGTTACATAGTCCCTTTACAAAAATGATATACAGTGAAATAGTTTTCATCTGAGGGACCCTAAATACAATATTAAGTCAAAAAGCTTTCTTATACTATTTAAACACTTAAATGATTTTCACATTTCAGATGCTTTCATCTGTCATTTTAGTGCTTTAAGTTAGCTTCATAGAATCTTATTAATGTAGTTTTATTACAAAGACTGAAATGATAAGTAAAAATTTTAAAGTGGGTCTACGTGTATGCTTATTTTTGTTCAGAAAAGGCATTGTCCAACAGTGGCAAAGGCATATGGCAAGTTTCAGATGGATTCAGGGATCAAAAACCTGTGGTCAAATCCTTTTGCACTGCTTTTTGAGAACTTCTTTAGTCTCTGCGATAACGTATCATTTTAAGTGTGTTGAAAACCAGAGAGAATCCAAATGGCATTATTTTTGTAACATACACATTGCTCTTGCATGTGTCCTATTGTTGAAGATACCTAAACTAGTAAAATTTTTAATTAATTTAAAGTTCAGATTGCATTCAGATGTCAGAACTATGATGACATTTTCACACATTAAATGAACATATAAGTTGTGACACTGTATGTAAAACTTTTTTTCCTGTTGTGTGCATTTCTGCTTAAATAAGAATTAAGAACAGGCTGATGAAGTGACTGTTTATTAAACTGTGTGTTTGAATATATATAAAAACTTACTTGGCACAAAACTTTCAAAAGAAACTCTATTGGTGGTTATAAGCTGTAAGAGTAACATTGTTGTCCCTGAAGGCTTTTTGATAATTTAAATATTTATGGTTGTAAAATAGCTTATTATTGGGGTGGGACTTTTTCAGGTCTGTGTATGCATGGTTTTGCAGATTCATAAGCTAGTGGTGAACTGCTAAGAACAGATACAATAAAGCACAAGTGTGTTACCTTGAAGAGAAGCATTTTTAATATGGCTAACCTGTTTAGCATAACTGAAAATGAAACCAGCGCTTCCATTTTTCTTTGTTTTAAAGACAGAGTAAATCATGTTTTTGCAGCACTTTCTGAAGCCAAGTTTTGAAAACGAGCAGTGTGCCAAAAGATGCAATGTATCGTTTTGCTAGAGTAAGCATCAGTGACATTTTGAACAAAGATTGAGACTGTTTCTCACTGATGTGAATGGCTGTACAGTTTCTGTTAACATGGATATAAACTGTGGCTGTCATATCAATTTACATTTTTAAGGTTATAGTATGACTAGGAAGTCTGTGAACACTTTATTTTGTGGATAGGGAAGGTAATGTTCTGATCTCGGATTTTGTTTTTCTGCTTTCTCCTCCTATACACATGAAGATTTCCTTTAGTGGGCTTTAACACAGTTATAGTCTTCGGTTTAAAAAAAAAAAAAAAGCTGATTTGGGCCTCATATTTCTTGTTGTGTCCTCAGACAAGGAGTAGCCATTATAAAGAAAAATCCAATTAGAAAGACAACATTCTCCTTATGGTTTTGGTCAGTGAAGGGGATTTTCATTTTACTTAGAGGGGTTCCTAAGACAACAAATGTTACTTAAGAGTGAGTCACAGCTGAGATAAAGATGTTAGTACCCGCCTACTGAATATTGTTGACTGTCTCCTTTGTGGAAATTGTTTGTCAGGGATTTAAGCAATAGTATTTTCAATTTACATTTGATTCTTTTTTTATTGCCTCAGAGCTTGTTTGTACAAAGTCCCTGTAGCAGTCTTGGAAGCATATTGTACAAATTAGTTTTTACTGATCTACCTCACTTTTCCTCAATGAAAAGTCTGTTGCAGTAAATCCACACAAAGTAATTTCCTCTTTAAGTTTACTGTATTGACTAAACTACATTTTAGTTTTTTTCAATCCACTAGTGTTCTTTACATATACTCAACCAGTGTTTTGGCAGTTGACTGGGCAGCCTGAGTTTTCTCTGTTCTCTTAAACTGTAAAGATAACAAAGAACCAAGTGTATTTTCAGAATGAATGTCTTTAGACATCCAGAAGCATGTTTTCCCAATTTTCACCCTATCTTTTTTGTTTTTAACATTGCAAGTCGCTTGCCTTTTACCTAGAGCTGCAGATCTCTTTCACATCATATGGCTGTATTTCATTAGCAGTGAGTTCTACTGTGAATGCCAGAGGATGAAACTTTGAAATTTTAATTATTCTTATGGGGGTCTTATAATGAAAGTTCTTAAAGGTTGCAAAGCTGTAGGAAACTTTGATGCTGCTCCAGCACAAACAGCACAACTTGATGTATAATATTACTTAAACTTCAACTAAAACAAAAAAAAATATGCCGTACTCAGATTTTGTGGGGAAGCCAGTAATCTGATGACATATTTAGTTTTGTGTTAAATATGATCTAGAATAAAATGGAGATACAGTAAGGTCTAGCAGTATTATTTGGTTTATGATAGTTCTGGAAGCTTTTTTTTAATACCTGTAAATTAAATGGAGGTGGTCAAACTTGATATAAGAAAGAATAAATGAGACCATTCCCTCTTCCCCAGTGTTTAAGTGATTCATCAAAGGGAGAGTTAATATCAGATGATCTTTTCCTCTCATGATATTAATTTGTGTCTAAAAACATCAGGCAGTTAATATTCCCCAAACAGATTTTTGTCTGACATCATCTTGAGTTGGAGGTATCCTCTTCGATTAATAATACTGATTAGTTTTTACTACCCAGTTTTTATTGAAGAGGGTATCCTCTTTGTCTTGGAAATAATGTGTGATACCTAACTTCTAGAGAGAGAGGTGTTTCTTAAAAACATTCAGCTTTGTGATCAGCTTCCCTTTTGGTCTTTCAGGTATATACTGTTCTCAGGATAGCTACTATTTTCATGCATCCAAATGTCAGATGATTCTTTTTCAACTGAGGGGTGAGCATGGCCTTTTCAAAATAACAAGAGGGAGCATAAGAAGTTGCTGACAATCAAACATTGGTCTTTTGTCACTGAAGTGCTGCTTGAGCTTTGCAATTAGTTTGAAGCCAGTACCCTTTCACCTCCTGGAGTTGTCTTGCCACTGTTGGACGTTGTTGGTCTGGAGGATAGTTAGTTCCTTCCTGTTCTGCAGAGCTAGTTGATCAAGTGATAGATGATACTCAAAGGAAGCTGAGGTAGACTGCTGGTGGGCAGAAGCAGAGTCTGTTATGAAATTGTTGTCTTAGTTTCTTTATATTCTTGTCCATATGTCAGTATTCCTTTTCTTTTTCTGCCTTATACTGAGTGTAAGCTCTTAAGGACAAAGATAACCTTTCTCTGTACAGCACCCTGCAGAGTGGACTTCTGTTTTGTGAGAATAGTGTCCAAGGATTATGGTGTATAAATAGTTATGTGGCTATGCTGGTGACCAGTGTACTTACTGTAGTACTTCCAAAACCATCTGCAAATAATTTAGAACTGGAACAACCCATTTACACTAAAGGCTGTCAGAAGTGAAGTTTTTTGAAGGGTGTCCCAAGGTAAACAGGAATTGGAAAGGGACCTGAAAAAACTAATTCTGAGTTCTCAAGTTGTATGAGGTATTTTGTAGGGTGCAACCAAAATACTGGGTTTGGCATGAAATATTAATTACATCATGAGATAAAATGCTGAAATACTTGTTTTGGAAAAGCACAACACTCCATGGACATAGTAACTGTCTTTATCAGTTTAGCCTATTTTCCACTGGACTTGTAAAATGAAAGTAGACGACATAAAGCAATTGATTTATATAGTGATCTTTATTGTAGGAACAACTATATGTTTTTCTTCTGGGAAGCATGCTGAAAATATCTTTCTATATGCAAATTGTATGGTTACTTTTCCCCGTGGCAGCAGTACAGTGATTTATGTAGTGACTGATAAAGATAAGCCATTGTTGTAAAACAGGAAGAAAGATACAGGAACTTGCAAGAGGCAATAAATTAATATAGAGAAATTCTGAAAATATTCTGGGAATTACAGAGCACACTTTTTTCTGTGATACTTCTCAATACTCCCCCAGTAACACTGAAGTATTTCAGCTGATCATGTAGTTCCTGTGTAGGTATCCTTTCAGTCACTCCTGTCCTGCCTGGTTTCCTGGTTGTGTATATTGTGAATTTACGGAAGAGACTAGCCAGGTTTCAGATCACAGCCATGCAGGGAGCTGTGTACTAAAATGTGTGTAGAGTGTGTGTATGTATGTAAAGTGTATTTATTTTCTGTGGTGTGTAATAGGAAACCTGTTAAATGGTATCTCATCAGAGAGCTCTGTTTAAAGTATTTGGCTAAAATCATACTTTAAAAGGGATCTTTTTGGTGAGGTTAGTA